CCAAATGGATTAAACCGTTGGCGTGAACCAAACCGGACAACTGCGGAAATAGACATCGGAGACCAGAATAGAAACGGTCGACGGATAAGGTGGGAGGATAAAATGGACACCGTGAGGGCTAGCTGGGTACCGTATGTGCATTACGGCCCATAGCTGCAGCGCTCAGTCATGTAGAAGAAGGTTGAGTTGTAACTACATGTTCGGCACCAAAAATGCAACAGAGTTGCCATGCACCTTCACTTCCTGTTTGGGGAATCGCACCTTATTCTCAACGCACAAAATATCACACTTACGTACTACAATTCACTTCACTCGAGACTAGTCTCAAATATTTTCATGGGCTTCAGTATCTAATACGATTCCATAGATGATTGGTAAAGGCAATTCATTACATCTTCGCACAATCAAATTCGCTTGCTAGCTTTTATGGTACAGTAGGATATATTACAAAATTATCCAAAACACCCAACATATATACATTACAAAAAAACCCTTCAGACAACTGAAAAGGTAGCAGTGCCAAAGATATCGATAGGACTGTTACCAACACCGACAAGATAATCTCCTCTCTCAACTTCATACTTCATCTGCTGATTCCACAGACCCAAATCCGAAACTGGGATCTGGATGCGAACGTTCTGCGTCTCTCCAGCCTTCAACATCACCTTTTGGAATCCCTTCAACAGCTGGTTAGGTGTAACGACACTGCTGACCGCCTGGCTGATGTAAACCTGGACGACTTCCTGTCCGTCTCTGTCACCGGTGTTGGTGACATCAACGATGGCGGTGATGGTACCGGTGGTCTGGGCTTCAGACCATGCGACAGTCTTCTTGTTCAACTTGACATTGGCGAACTTGAAGGTGGTGTACGATCGTCCGAAGCCGAAGGTGTACCATGGAACTGGGTTGTTCAAGACGTAGTTGTGGCCGAAGACGATGGTACCGTTGTCGTAGACCTTACCCGGATCTGGCCAGGAGCGGGCAGAGTTGAGATAATCGTAGAAAGCTGGGGCGGTACCGACATCGTGGGGGAATGAAACGGAGAGCTTGCCGGATGGGTTGTAGTCGCCGAACAAGACGTCAGCAAGGGCATTGCCACCTTGTTCGGATGGGTAGAACTGTTGGACTAAAGCGGAAGTGTAGTTTGCGATCCAGTCTTCGGTGATTGGCTTTCCGGAAGAGAAGACGACAACGGTGGGTTTCTTGGTGTCGGCGATAGCCTTGACGAGCTTGGCTTGAGCTCCGACGAGGTTGAGGTTGGAAACATCGACGTGCTCACCGGTGGTGGCGTTGAGACCGGCCCAGAGTTCGTTCTGGTCTCGGGACCAGGTACCGACAACGACAACGGCGACATCAGCAGAGTTAGCAGCGTTAACTGCCTCTGGGAAACCGGACTCGTCATTGGACCAACGTTCGCAGCCCTTTGCATAGACCACGTTCTTTGCTCCGATTTTAGCCGAAATACCGTCGTATGGGGTGACACCTCGCTGGGAGGACTTGTAAGGAACGTAATCTCCGTACTATATTATTTATTAGTTTTATGTGCAAACTTTTATGTATCAATATGAATTGCCACTTACGTTCATGAAACCATGGGCCATTGGACCAATGACGGCAACCTTGGCAGACTTGGAAAGAGGAAGGGTCTTGTCGTGGTTCTCCAAGAGAACAATAGACTCACGATCCAACTCAAGGGCAACAGCGACATTTCGGTCGGTGTGGACCTCTCTGTCAAGCTTAGTAGGGGGGACGGATCCGTATGGATTTTCGAAGAGTCCGAGGGCGAACTTTGTTCGTAGCTGTCTCCCGACAGCAGTGTCAACAACAGCCATATCAAGCTTTCCACTCGAAGTCAAATTGGCGATAGATCGGAAGTTGAAAGAACCACCACCCATCTCGACGTCGTTACCGGCGGTCAAAACCTTTGTGGTGATGCACTCACGACCAGCTTGGGTGGTCTTATCAGGGCACATCTTGAAAGCGTCCGAAAGACGATCAGTCGAGCCAGCATCGCTCATGACGTAGTACTCGTATCCCCATTCGTTTCTCAAGATATCAGTCAAGACATGGTGGTCCGCAACGGTAGGTATACCATCATAAGCGGTGTATCCAGACATAATGGACATGGCACCACCTTCAACGATTGGCTTCTTGAAAGCATGTAGCCAAGTCGTTCTCAACTCTCTTTCTCCTCCGTGCACAGGACCGCAGTTGATACCACCCTCTGGGTTGCTGGCACCAACAAAGTGCTTAAGCATAGCAGCAACACCACGACCTTGGAAACCTTCGACCACACTAGTAACGATCGTGCTAGCCAAGAAAGAGTCCTCAGAGGTACACTCCTCAACTCTACCAAAGCGAAGCTCACGAGCAAGATCGGCGACTGGGGCGAACAGTTGACTAACACCGAAAGCGATAGCTTCCTTTCCGATGACATCGGCAGCCTTCTTGACGAGATCGGGGTTGAAGGAGCTTCCGAAACCAATTGGCGAGTTGAAGATGGTGGCGTTGGGGATCAAGAAGCCATGGAGACCTTCGGTCTGGACGAGGGCGGGAATACCAAGTCGAGTCTCCTCAACCAAGTACTTTTGTCCCTTGTTGATTCCATCGGCGAGCCAGTCCCAAGGGATAGGATATCCGACGTAGAATGAACCTTGCTTGTACACAAAGTTGTTCAACAAACCCGTTCTGTTGTATGCACCGGTGTTGATATCGATCCAATTTGAGAGATCGCCTAAACGTAGTATTAGTGTTAGTGTTTCGATGCTATCATTGAAGCTTCATGAGTTCTACTCCGTCGAGTAACTTACCTTGCATCAACTGTCCGAGCTTCTCGTCTATCGTCATTCGACTCAATAGATCTGCGATTCTGTCATCGATGCTGGCCTTAGGGTCCTTGTAGACCGCATTCGACGGGACAGATCCCTGGGGAATGGCATGGGCAAGCTGGACCGCTGCAAGAAGCAGTCCACCGGTAATAGATGAGACACGCATTGTTGGGACAGGCAATCGTATCCTCCAGCAGATGACTGATGCTCTAGCTACAGAGGTGAAGATCGGAGCTTTTCATGGGATAGCTAGTAGAACCCCTTCCTTTTATACCCTTCCCCTTTGCTCGCCATCTCACCATGTTCTTTGTCCCTTCCGATCTCAAATGCCATGTCGCCATGGTCATCCTAGCTAGTTAGGCAGAGAGCTAAATGAATTTTGATCGTAGCTTCCCGGTCTCTCAAGCTCCGGAGAGAAAATAAAGAGGATGAAGGACCTCGTTTTAACCATTTCAGCCGACATCTACGGGTTTGAATTCGAAAGTTCGACGGATTACAGCCAAGAATTAAGGGTAGGGACAAGGTTTGGGTTCCCTGTGGATCATTTCCCTGGGACGTAAAAATGTACGTAGATGATGCGACATTTTGATGGCAGCCGAAATGCTTGGGAGATGGGAAAAAAAGGATATGGACCTGCGTCGAGATTACAATATTGTTTGGGGATTGTCGGCATGGGTTCTTTGAATTTTATCCTGGGTGAGGAAAGCGAGGTGTGTGTAGGAATGGCAACCCCGGTAGACGGTATGTTTATACGGTGTGTGGAGTGAATCGCCAAGACGGCGCGGATTCGTGGAAACGCATGGAATTACTCCGTGATGCTCCAACACCAGAACTGGCCCCCCTGCCTTGTTGTAATTTGGGAGGTCGATTGATAAAATGGATGATGAATTAAGGTGGAGGCAAGTGGAGGTGGTGGCTTGCGGCTTCGGATCAACTCGCCCCGCATAAATAGCTTAAAATGAAGGAGCCGAGAACGCCTCTGCCTTTCAGAAACTGTCCCGAGGTGTAGCGATTGGCACAACAATCGCACAGCAAGACGCACAGATATCAATTCAAGCCATGGACTTTGGTGTCATGTTTCCGTGGTACACTCCCCCGTTTTGCCTAATATTATGACATCTTTAGCCAGTTGATTATGTCGCACAGTTTTAGTCTGGTGGCGCCCGGTACATTTATCTCTCTCATCGCGAATATATATCGCCTAAGGGCACACTAAAATTCTCCTTTCCAAGGTCGAAACCATATAGTGCCTATATATCAGGCTATTTCCCGCCAAATTTCGGTAGGCTGCATGTACGAGTGTTTCCCCAAGTGCTTTACCTGGTATTAATATATTGGGAAGCTTGGGATATCCGGATAGCAACCGTAGAAAGAGAGGTCGTACTCGGCTTGGTATGCCGAAACCTAGCGACGTACCTGGTGCCTTGCAAATTTAATCGCAAGGTACCGCAGTTTTTCCAACGGATGATCTTCATTGATGCATCGATTCACGGCGCAATTCGTCCCGGCCGGCTGTTGCCAGAATTTTGTGAGATATCAATATTCATACGTGCGCCTGCGTTCTGAATTATAAATTCAACCTGATTCTCCGCCAGCTGGGCGCGCTTTGATCAAGCTTGATCGATTTGATTTCAGGACCGTACTTGAATATTGGTCTGCAATCAATTGAAAGCAATGAAGTTTATTGCCCCAAAGTAGTAGGGTGATCGAGAAATGGCGTCCCCGCATGCGCATATTTAAATCTATGTATCAATGCATACTGCAGCCTTTTCTAGTCTCGTAACGTTCTTCCAAAAACGGTCGCCCAATGTCAATATACAGCATATGAAACTATTATTTATTTACCTTATGACCCATCCGCGTCCACCCTTCAGTGGTTTCTGCAAGCTATGAAACCAGACGGTAAAATACGGCATACCCAAAGAGAAAATGTCAATGAATTCTCAAGATTTCAACTTCGCTCGATTAGTTTCCTGCAATGTATAAAAATCCCGAGACCAATTCAATCGTGACTGCAAATTCATAAAAAATGACCCCAGCAATAGCAACACAAGTTTGCCAGCTAAACCGTCCGTCTATCTGAACCAAGTCGTATTTCAAACCGGGAAGGTACAAAAAATAACCTTTTCCTCCTCAAATAGTCTACGGAAAAGGCAAAAGAGAAGATTTCACTGATCGCGACGAGGATCGAACTCGCAATCTTCAGTGGATGACATCCAACTGTTTCCCAGATGAATACCGAAAACTGACGCCTTGCCATTAGGCCACGCGACCAAGGATACTTTTCGAGCTTCTAAATGAGCTCTATGAAGCTTATTACTCTTGACCTCTTTTCATGATGGCGAGGCTCGTTTAGTTACCCTCGCCTATTCGACGACGGCAGGATGCCGTCGTAAATAGCCATGAAGTAATGTAAATTCAAGATCTTTGCGGGGATCCAACAAAGTCAACGCATCTTGCAAGATTCCTTTCGTTATAGTACCCAAATTTACCAGGCAAACCCTCCCTCGCCGACATTTGTGCATTAAAACCACTTTAATTTATTATTATATATTATTCACTCCAAGACCAATAAAGATGTCAGCCGGAACGATCAAAGTAAACTACACGCAACTATGTAAAATGATAGACCACTCCCTCCTCCACCCGACAATGACAGACCAAGACGTCCTCGCCGGTCTCAAAATCGCAAGAGACTACAATGTCGCCACAGCCTGCGTCAAACCCTACCATATTCCCCTCGCTAAGCAAGAACTCGCGGGCACCGACGTTCTCGTCTGTCCTGTTATCGGATTCCCACACGGAAACAGCACCACGGAAGTAAAAGTCTTCGAAGCCTCCGCCGCCGTCAAAGCTGGAGGTAAGGAAATTGACATGGTGATAAATATTGGCAAAGCGTTGGGTGGAGATTGGGACTACGTTTCCGATGAAATTCGACAAATCAACGAGGCTGTTACCAATGGTGGCGCTATTCTAAAAGTCATATTTGAAAATGATTACCTTCAGGACGAGCATATCATCAAACTTTGCGAGATATGCGCCGAATTGAAAGTAGCCTTTGTGAAGACTTCAACGGGATACGGGTTCGTGAAACAACCTAATGGAATGTATAACTACAAAGGCGCCACGGTTCCTCATCTAAAGCTTATGAAGCAACATTCGCCCGAAGCTCAGATTAAGGCTGCCGGAGGCGTACGCACACTCGATGATCTGATTTATGTTATGTCTCTGGGCGTTACGAGGATTGGTGCTACAGCCACCATTGCTATTCTAGAAGAGGCGAAGAAGAGGGGAATCGGGGAGGAAACTGTCGAGGTTACTTTGGTTCCGATGGCTGGGGCGGGCGACTGGAGTGGTGCCTACTAGTGTCAAAAAATTGAAACATTTTGTAGTTTAAATACATATAAATATGTTGTATTGATATGTATACTATTAAGTTGCCAACTATCAATCACTTTATCTCATATTCGTAGCAGCAGTTTTTTAGTTCTGTGAACAATCATACTGTAAGACTTCACATATCTTTGTTACCAACCTACTCTCAAATATCTCTTTACAACCATTCTCGCCACTATCTAACAGAACCCTTCTAACTGATCAAAAACGCCTAAAACACTACACATTCTTCTTGACATTCTCGTCCCCCCCACTCCACCCATCCCACCCCACCAGAAAAGCAACCCTCAACCCCAACGGCACATAAGTCGGCACCCAAGTCTCCCAATCCCCATACCTCCCAAAATCCCACCCCAAATCCCCTCTAGCAACCCACAACCCCCAAAGGTGAATCAAATCATTAACCAACATGCCCAGAATCGCAACCCTCCACACGTTCCTATCATTCGTAACCCTCAACAACACCGCCTCCATTATCGTAAAATACACATACGATGAAGCGAGGTTAGTCAGGGCGAGTTGGAGTTCGGTTGTCATGAGGAGGGGCGAGGTAGTGTAGGATGAGGAAGGGAGGACGATGGAGTAGTATTTCTGCGGGGTGAAGTGGGTTAGGTAGGCGCCGCCGAGAGCGGAGATGGGCTCGATGTAGAAGAAGAGGAGGCGGTAGATTAAGCCGTATTGACCTGTCATCTTGTTCGCGCGCGGTTGTGGATGTTTGGATGTTTGAAACGGTGTTTATACGTGGGTGTATATAACCTGTGCGCGTGTTGGGTAGAGAGCTACTTTGGGTAAAGCTTAGAGTTTAGATGGTGTAGCTGCCCACTGGACTTTCTGTGCTCGTTATGATCATAAATATTTAGCATCAGGCTCATACGATATCTTGAGCTTGCGAGGTTGAAGCAAAATTGGTGCATTGGGATTGAGGCTGTTTAAGTAAGCACTCTAAACCAGCCGCTCGACGCAATGTGCCGTGCTTACTATCCCAAGCTACCTGCTTACGGCATCGGATCAGCTTCATGTACAACCAAACTCCCGCTGGATAATTCACCCCAGTCGAAGTTGCTCTTATCATGTTGAGGCTGGACGTCTCGGTATAGTATTCGGGTCCGAATATTATACGAGAACGCCGCCACGTCTATCATATTCTGAATCTAATATTTAATTTCTTGAACATTATTGTAAAAGTACAAAAAAAAGAAAAATATAAATGCAGGGTATCGTTGAGATCCAATTCGGCATTATTCGACAGAAGATCTAAAACAAGACCCATAAATTCCGCTCAAAAAGCCAAAATTGTTGAAATTAAACAGGTACCATTGCACCGCGGTGCCGGCGCAATAGGTATGTATCTATGTATATACAGGACTCCCAGAATCTACCAGTTCAAGGTTATCCCTTCGTCCAGAATTTAAAAGAGTCCGTCGATATCTCCGGTTTCCGGATCCACATCGATCTAAATACTGTTAGCTGATATTCATCAAAATGATATAATTTTAAGACAATTAACTTACCATCATGTAGTTTGCAGCAGTTGGGAAACCGGGGATGGTCTGGATATCTGCGGCGAGAGCGTACAAATATCCAGCACCAGCCGAAAGGCGAACGTCTCGGATCGGGACAGTGAATCCGGTCGGGGCTCCCTTCAAACTAGGATCGTGGGAAAGGGAGTATTGGGTCTACCGAATAAATATTAGAAATTAACCTCTCAAACAATTGAGATTATTACTCACCTTGGCAATGCAAATGGGGAGATCGGTGTATCCTTGTTTAGAGTAAGTCTCAATCTTAGATCGAGACAACTCGCTCAACTCGATACCGCTTGCGCCGTACATCTCCTTTGCAATAATGGTCATTCTCTCCTCGATTGTGCCTTCGGTGGTGTAGAGGAGCTTGAATTCCTTGGGTTGAGTGGAGGCCTTGATGACACCATGAGCGAGATCAACAGCGCCAGCTCCACCGGTAGCCCAGTGGTTTGCTGGGATGGCATCTTCTGCTCCAGCCTTCATCGCCTCTTCTCGGATGACCTGATGCTCAGCATCGGTATCGGTCCTATTTTCATATTAGCTTCGTTCTAATTTGGTCATTTTAAATATCACTCACTCGAATCTGTTGATAGCAACAACGACCGGAACACCATAGCTCTTTGCATTTGCAATGTGCTTGGCGAGGTTCACACAGCCGGATCTGAGCAAGTCAATGTTCTCAGTGGTGTAAGCCTCTGGAAGCGGGGCTCCTGGAGTGATATCAGGGCCACCTCCGTGCACTTTGAGGGCACGAACGGTTGCGACGATGACCACAACATCGGGGACGAGACCAGATGATCGACACTTGATGTTGAAGAATCGCTCGCCACCCATGGTGAAGTCGAATCCGGCTTCAGTGACGACATAACCAGCCTTGGACTCGTGGTCTTCGTCTTCCTCGGTACCAGCAAGCTTCAAAGCAATCTTGTCAGCCAAGATGGAGCTTGCTCCGATACTATATTACAATTTGTTAGTAAAGTGTATTTAAGATGATTCAAACGACGTGTTATTACCTAATGTTGGCGAATGGACCGGCGTGGACAAACACCGGTGTTCCTTCGAGTGTTTGCATGAGATTTGGCTTGATGGCATCCCTCATCAAAGCAGTAAGAGCTCCACCAGCACCGATATCATCGCAGGTAACGGGGTCACCGGACCTGCTGGTGCCAATGACCATTCTTCCAAGGCGCTCTCTCATATCGCTAAGGCTGTTGGACAAAGCGAGAATAGCCATACATTCACTAGCAACAGAAATGTCAAAGCCAGTAACTCGAGTCTGTCCCCGTTCGGTAGGGGCTTGACCGACGGTGATTTGACGCAAATGTCGGTCGTTGATATCCAAGACACGACGCCAGGTGATAGTATCGGGATCGATATCGAGTCTAGCAAATTTGGTAATCTCTTCATCCGTGAGTTCGTCAGGGTTCGTCTTGTTGATTCCGAGCTTTTTCAAACGTCGGAACATGACAGGTGCGAACTCTCTCTTGCCCTTCTTCTTTGGTACCAAGCGGCCATACAAGGCTTTATCTTTCTGAGTGTTCTCGTGGAACATTCTAGTTTCAATCGCGGCAGCCAACAGGTTATTGGCAGCGGTGATGGCATGAATGTCACCAGTCAAATGGAGATTGAACTCGTCCATGGGGATGACTTGGCTGTAACCACCTCCTGCAGCTCCACCCTTGATTCCGAAAGTCGGTCCTTGACTTGGTTGTCTCACGTTCGCGAACGCAATCTTGTCGAGATGACCAGCGAGGGCTTGGGTAAGGCCAACGGTCGTCGTAGACTTGCCCTCACCGAGTGGGGTGGGGGTAATACCGGCAACCAAGACATATTTTCCGTTCTTACGATGAGCCAATCTGTCAAGTAATTCGAGCTTGACCTTGGCCTTGTGAGCGCCAAAGAGTTCACATTCTGTATCCGTGATGCCGAGTTCATTCGCAATCGCCTTGATGTTCTTTGGATGCTGAGCCCTGGAGATAGCAATGTCGCTGGGGACAGGCTGGAGAACCTTGAGAGGGATTGGTGTAACTTTACGAGCAGCAGTTTGTTCGTAGAAACGAGTGGCGGAGTTGACGACATTTTGCAAAAGCATGCAGACGGTCATTGGACCGACACCGCCGGGGACTGGTGTGATCAATGAAGCGACCTCAACAGCTGAATCGTAGTCAACATCACCCACAAGTCTCTCACCAGACTTCTTGGAGCTATCTGGGATGTAGTTTGTGCCGACATCAATGACAACAGCACCGGGTTTCAACCACTCCCCTTTCACAAATTTAGGCTGACCGATAGCAGCAACTAAGATATCTGCTTCTTTGATGATAGCCTCAAGATTTTGTGTCTTGGAGTGGCAGA